AGCTCTAATTTCCCAATTGAAAATATTTCTTTGCGAGGTTTACCTACCTTCATAAACATGCACCATATATAGCTATAATTTCAGTTTCCTTTTGTGTCGGAAAGTCTCTGTACTGGAGAAGAGGCATGTGCGGTGGGAACCAGTCACTCTTGTGGAATAACTGTGGTATCCTCTGCTTAAAGGAATTCTAACAGCATTCAGCAATGGAGCCGGGACCTTCCTGCATGTGTGGTTGGTGTGTAGCTGGCTCATAGGGGAGATATTATTAGAGCTAGAGAGCTATGCCTGTTATGAAGGGATTTCCCAGTCTGAGAGCTGCCGGTCAGCAGTTGTTGATGTGGCAATGTAAGCACAATGTTTAAGCGTCGCCTCTGTGGCAAGTATTAGAATATGAAAATGTAAGAGGAGATGACTAACTTCTATCTGTCTGACCTTGGCCTGAGATGTGAAACAGGCAGAGAGGCAGAAGTCAAGCCGTTGTGATGTCAGACGGCATTTAAGAGGTTAATAGGTCTGACGACGCCCTCGTCACTTACTCGCAGTCAAGATGATTCAGTCATGGCTTACTTTGTCGTCATGTTTTTCATAAGCAATTGTGGAATGAAAATGCTGACATCATTTTATAATAATTTGGTTTTGTGTGTATCAGAAAATACTGCTTTTGTAAAGGTGGATATAGATAAATTCACTTTTTATAAAAATAAAATGTATAATAATTTATTGAATAATAAATAAGTGTAGAACAATGTACATGGTGAATAGGGATATTACTGATATATATATATGTGTGTGTACACACTGTTGCTAACATGAACATTTTTATGTGAGTATTATGACCAGTACTTAATTTGATCCTGCTGGATACTGTTCCGGAAAATGTCAGATTTTAAATTTTGGCGTTCCGGTAGGCCTATTTGTTTTAAAAAAACTGGCATTTACAGTGCATTAGATTGTGACAGTGCATGCTTGCGTGCATACAAGACGGAGCGAGCGCGGGTTTGGCTAGATGTATTTGGAGGTTATTACTCGCGTCTCATTCGGCACAAGTATCATTTTTATTATGAATGCCATTTATATATCAAACACTGGATAAATAAATCATTTTTCTGTTATTTTCTCTAAATGTTCTGTGTAACAAAAATAAATATTTATTAATTATCATTTTAATTATTTTAATTATTAGTATAATTTACAATATTTAACAAATAAAACATATTTTCTGTAAACATTTTGTATAGCAAATGCATAAATCATATTATTTAATTATTATATTAATTGTTTTAATTATGAATGTAATTTAAAATATAAAATTGAATAAAAATATAAAAAAATTATAAATGTATTTTGTTCAGTTATTTACTGTAAATGTTCTGCATAGTAAAAATGCATTATTTTATTCATTAATTCGTTATCATTTTAATTATTTGTAATTTTAATGAATGTCCCACAGCTCAACGCTCGATCTGCTCGGGTTCATATAGAGACAGTTGTGGGCAGGGCCGGATTTACAAACAGGCATTCTAGGCACGTGCCTATGTTCGCTCGTCCAGTGGGGCCCAAACACAATGAAGAGATATATAATATTTTTGCTATACTATGGGATATCTCAGTGTTTCCCCTGCCATTATATTAGGGGGGCGGCCCGCCCTCCCAACAGCACCCCCCAGCCCCCTTGAAGGTTAATTTAATTTATTTTTTACTTTTATTTTCTCTATAGCGCCAGAACACAACAGAAGTCATTTAAAGTTACCTTTTCTATAGAACAGGTCTATACCTTGTTCTTTTATTAAACAAACTAAATATGTTTGCTTATGTTATTTATCTTATTTACACGACGGCATGTCATTTCTGTGTCTACGTTACATGATCGCGCTCTCTGTATCGCGCACAGCGGAGTTCCGCCCGATACACGTGCACACACAAGTGAGCATACTCCCACTCCCACTAAAGGAATAATCATACAATATTTCTTCAATATTTTAATTGTAATATTATTTTCCAAAAAAATAAAATGTTTAATTTTCATTATTTAAAAGAGAAATTAAATGAATGTTTTATGCCTTAAAAAATGTAAATACTCAACACAGAATTTCTGAGGTGAAAAAATTGTAAGGCTATTGTAAGAATAATTGAAATATATGTATATATATATGTATATATGGCCTGTGATGGCAAACTTTTGAATGATAGTGTTTATATTCCACAACAATGTAAAGGTATATCTGAAGGAGTTCCTATATGCTGTGCACTTGCATTTATTGATTTGTTTTTTAATTATTATTTGTTTAGGATTTTTTTTTTTTTACATGGGCATTGGGCAATTTATATTTGTCTGCAAAGCTAATTTCAAGCATTTCCACAAATTTCCACAGCTAATGTGATGAACTACACCGGTGGTTTTTCTAGTAGGACACCTGTGTGAACTTAAGAGGAACTGACTCATTCATCCAGTAAAATCACATTGGGACTAGTAAAAGTAATTACGAGAGTGAAGTTAGACAACTGAAAGTCAAGCATCATTTGATTGCAGATGCCACCTGGTTTGATGTATTGCTGACATTTTAAGTGTGTCTTAAGTGTCCAAATGCTTTTGGGGGCTTCAGGTAGCCACACCTTTAATCCATCAAACTCTTCTGACTTCATAAAGTTGGAACAGTATTCCTACTAAACACTTAACAGCACTTGTGTTCTTGAAACAATGGCAGCGAGGCGGCCACACATTGGTGTTAGCCAAGGGGGTCTGGATCCAATCAGACAACAGCCCATTCCATTTTAATTTCAATAATGTTTCCCAGACAATACAGAATTCTTGACAGCTTCAGTCTGAACAAGAAAAAATTAAATGTGCCAAAGTTGACAGTAGACTATCCTTTTTCGTCTTTCAGAATGTTGTGTTTTTGGAAGTCATTGTGAACTTTTTCTATAACTAAGATATTCAGCATTTCCATTTTTCTCATGTTCATGTTATGGGTGTAGAGTTTAGATCCTAATCTGTCTGTTTCCGGGCTAAAGTAAGGCGATAGTTTTGAACACTGGCTGGTTATGTACTTGCTCAAATACTGATTTCGGATCATTTTTAACCACAAAAAGTTACTGACTGCAGCTTTAAGTAACATACCATGACAAGTGAGCTATTTTGCTGATATTCTCATGACGCAAAAAAAACATTCAAAACACCTACAGAGTGCACGCATTACGTGAAGTCTAGTGCGTTCTTTCACTGCATGATTCAGTCTATTAAAATACATTCAGAATGATCACAAATTCAAGACATGGGGGCAGAAAATGTATATATTTATACCACTTCATATAGTTAATCAATTTCACATGAAGAGTCCATTTTTTTCTCCAAAAATTACCATGATTACAAATGTAATAGATTTTTTTTAGTAGTTCAATAAACTAGAAGTTAATTAAGAGACTTACATTTTAGACACCATATTGCCTGTTTTTGCACTATTTCGACAACAAAAATCATTTTAAACAAAGCCACAGTGCTGTTTTGCGTCTCTAAGCAACATGACGATGTTTCGTTCCTGAATGAATCAAACATTTAAATGATTCGGTTCAATTTCCATTACAGGTTTAGGTCTTAAATTTTATATAAGGTGGTATTAAAAAGGTCTTAAATTTAACTTGTTCATGTCTGTAGAAACCCTGTGATTGAAATCAGGGGTTCTCAACTAGCAAACTTCCAAGACCTTAAGATGGCTTAAAAATGGTAAAGTAAGACAAAACAAACATTAATGGGATAGTTCACCAAAAAATAAAAATTCTGTCATTAATTACTCACCCTCCTGTTTAAATAATTTCAAATATCAGTATTCAACGTTTTATGTTTAATATATCAAAACATTATTTATGCATTTGTAAAAATAGACCTTTGTAAAGGTAAATAAGAATATGCAGATTTAAGTATGTAAAAGCTGATAGAACACTGATGAAAGTATTTCTTCAGAATAAATTGTTTACACAACCAAAAATCTTGGTGATGCGGTGCTTTTGTGGGGATATTTCTGATATGAAAAGTTCACTGTATATTTTAAATATAATTTATTACAGTGATGATACTTTGTTTTCTTTTTATGTTAAAACCCGTAAGACCTTTGTTCATCTTCGGAACACAAATTAAGATATTTTTGATGAAATCTGAGAGCTCTCTGACCCTGCACAGATGGCAATACAACTGAAATGTTCCCAGACCCAGAAATATAGTAAGGACATTGGTAAAATAGTCCATGTGACATCAGTGGTTCAACTATAATTTTACGAAGCTACGAGAATACTTTTGTGCGCAAAGAAAACAAAGATAACGACTTTAACAATTCTTCTCCTCCAAATCATGTATTCTGGCATTATAGAGAGTACCACGTGTTCTACGTCAGCAGAATCACGCGCATGCGTTGTTTATGTGCAGAGGTACTCTCGATAATGGCAAAAGACATGATTAGGAGGAGAAGAATTGATGAATAAAGTCATTATTTTTGTTTTCTTTGCACACAAAAGTATTATCGTAGCTTCGTAAAATTACGGTTGAACCACTGATGTCACATGGACTGTTTTACCGATGTCATTACTACATTTCTTGGTCTGGGAACATTTCAGTTACATTGCTGTCTATGGAGGGTCTCTCGGATTTCATCAAAAACATCTTAATTTGTGTTCCGAAAATGAAAGAATGTAAGCTAGAAATTAGCCTAATTTTTAAAGTGTGATTTCTAGACCTGGAAAAGTCATGTAAATTAATACAATTATAAAACTTTGTGCATTTTTATAATGAATATACATTTTTCTAGTTATGCCCAACTTTAAACTATTTTATTGAGTTGGAATTGTGAGTAAAAATATTTAAAAAAAAATCTTATTCTTAATCCTTATTCAGTAAATCACAAACAAATGGAAAAGTCATAGGGCCTTTGAATATTGTTGTGGACGATGCTGGGGCCTAGAAGTCAAAAAGGTTGAGAACCACTGATCTAAATAGCATTGCAAAATAAACTTGGGGTATTCCCGTTATTTTTATTTCTAAATGTAGGTCATTTGAACTACGAATACAATTTACTTACAGTTGGATCCCACTTTTTTTCAGTAAGCCTAACCCAGTTTGTCCAGCTGATCTAGAACCACTCTTTGAAGATAAGGTAAGAAAGTGAAGCCAAAACCTACAAGGACACACCCACTCCGTTACATATTAAATCTCACTCTCACAGCTCCAAGTGAAAGTAATGTGGGCCATATAACAGGCACACAACAAATCTCTGTTATACAGGCCATGTAACGGATTATTTTTTCTTTCTTATAACGTTAGATATTCCGGGATGTTTGCTGCAATAGGGAAATTATGGCTCTGAAGATCTACTGCCGAAGTGAGAAAAATGGATGTAAAGAACAAATGAGTTTACAGCAGGTCATGGTAAGTCATATGATTCTTAGGCACAATAGTCTACATATCATATGGTAAATTCCTCCCAAATAGAACCTGCCTCGAGCGCAGAGAAATGTGAGCCTAGACTTAAAACTGACTCGCATATCATTTTATAAGTGTGAGAATGGACGGATGTAGTTTTATTGATAGATTACATGCTGTGTGTGTTATGTTTAAGAATGGATTTTTTTGGTAAAGTTAGGTCACAAAATTCAGATTTGTCTCTCTCATTTGAACAGGAACACTTGGAAGTTTGTCCGTACTTCGAGGTGCCATGCCCCTTGGGAAAGTGTAAGGAGAAGATGATGAGGAAAGACATGTCTGAGCACTTGAGCCGCAAATGCAAACACCGAGAGATCACCTGTGAATTCTGCAATCACAAGATGGCCCTCACCGAGTTACAGGTAACACGCATTACCCAAAACCCCCCAGTTCCCATAAAAAGGACCTGAAATCTAATGGAAAGTACTTAGAAATTCATGAGATCTTTTTTCAGTTATCATTGAGTTTTTTTTTCCTTGATTGGAATTAGTGGACATCTCAGTTCCTCTATGAGAAGTATTCCCCTTGTGTTCTGCCATTAATGTCCCATGACCTTTGAGTTTCACATTTGTACAAGGAACTTGAGGGAATCTCCCGTTAAGTTGACTGTCATTTAGAGAATGATCGATGTATGTTTTCACTTCAAGAATGCTTTCTGTTTTTCCACTTGGTTGATCCTGTCATTATTACTCCACACACTAACAGTTTTGTTTTAACCATGAGCATCTTGAACCATGAAAGTGTGTCAGTATGCAATATGTTTTAGTGCATTTCAGTCTAACCGTCTTCTCTCTTTACAGAAACACAAAGATACAGTCTGTCCTGCATTTCCTGTAGCATGCCCTAATCACTGCTCGTTTTCTTCCATTCTAAGAAGTGAGGTAGGCTTGGAGTGCATTAAGCATCACTTTTGATTTACTAACGTGTGTGTTTTGCATTTAAACACATGAACAGTGATTTCAATTGTAAGTGAATGATAAAGGCAGATTAATTGTGATGTATTTATGAGATGAATGTGTCTCCTATAGCTGTCCAGTCATCAGCATGACTGTCCAAAGGCCCAAGTGACCTGCTCCTTTATTCGCTACGGATGCTCCTTTAAGGTGATATTCTTGAGCAGACATTGATTTAAAGGACATTTGAAATGTACTAACACTGCAGTAGTATAGTACTTCCATGCTGATTAAAATTCTAATTATTTTAAAGGGGCTGAATCAAGAGATGAGGGAACATGAGTCCAGTTTTGCGTCTGAGCACCTGAGAATGATGGCAGTCAGAAACACCACACTAGAGGCCAAGGTAGACATTTATAAACATTTATGTTTAACATATCAGAAACAAGAAACTGGTGTTTCCGGTGTGAAAATGAATATGCTTTTTCCTGTTCATATTTCCACCATGCATGTAGTCAGATTAAACATGTAAACTGATTAACCTGTGTGTGTAGGTAGAGGATGTTAAGAGCGAGCTGATGGAGCGTTATAAAGTTCTGCCCAGCCTCAGCAGTCGTCTTGCAGAGGTTGAGACTCAGTATGAGGAGATGAGAGAAAAGAACAGGCAGCTGGAGCAGAAGCTAGTCAGCATGCAGGTGAGAGCCGTCACCAAGTAGTGGTTTTATTTTCTTTTGAGTCATTTGGTGAAGCTAAAAATAACTTCTAATTTGTATAAAGTGACGTAAGTCTGCTGTACTGCGCAATATTTCAGTCTGACATGCTTTTAAGTTTTAATGCCTTTGCTTTGTTACATGCCTTCTACAGTGGGCTCAAAGCCTGAGATCTAATTTAAACCTGGTAATAATTAAAGCTTTTGGATTTTGAACAATAAAAAGAAAGAAACATTATACTGTAAATAAGAAACATCATTTGTGTCAATTTCCTGTCAATGATTTCTGTCAATATTCAAATTAGTTAATGTGTGACATTTACCATGTTTTATACAATTTAAAGGGATAGTTCCCTTAAAGGGATAGGTCCCTTTAACCTTTGTATAAAAGGTTATTAGATTTCCTATTTCCTTTGAAGATCCTCTTTGGAACATTTTTTTAAATGACCAGCAAAACGGGGACATACCAAATACTAAAAATTCTGAAATTCATGTACATTTTTCAGTTCAACTTTTTACTCAAATTCTTATGATGATACAGTAAATGTAATTTTCATAAATTTCCATTTTTTTCTATTATTGTTTTTTTTTTTTAACAGTGATCGTAGACTATGTTGTTTCATGTTTACCTGTTTGTTATTTGATGACAGTGACTATGTAAATCCTCAATGCAAAATAAATTCCTGTTATTCAAAGAATAAATGACAAAAATATACACTACCAGACAAAATTTGGGTTTTGGTATATTAAGTATACATTTTTCAGAAATTAATACTTTTATTCAACAAGGATGCATTAAATTGATTAAAAGTGACAGCAAAAACATTTAGCATGTTACATACATTATGTTCTTTTGAACTTTCAAATAATGCTAAAAAATGTGTCACGTTTTCACAAAATTATGTTTCTTACTAAAATCAGCATGATGATTTCTGAAGGATCATGTGACATTGAAGACTGGAGTAATGGCTGTTGACAATTCAGCTTTGCAATCACATGAATAAATTACATCTTGAAATATATTAAAATAGAATTTTTTTAAACTATAATAACAATTTACAATATTACTGTTTTTCTGTATTTTTAATCAAATAAATAGAGCCTTACTGAGCAAAATAGACTTTAAAAAACAACACCAACAAAATCTTTTGAGGGGTAAAATACGTACTATACAATTTATTTAAAATGTATACATTGTAGTTACATTATTATTGATGTATTTTCATGTTTAAAATAATTGCATTAAGATTTATGACTTTAAATCTCAATTTTAACCCCTCCCCCACCCCCCACCCCTTTTTTTTTTGCCAAACTTTGATTTTAAAAACTCATGGACCCAGCTATAAAATATTAGAATCTGTGATTAAAACACTTTAAGCAAGCAGTTCTCTATATGTTTGTGTGTGTGTTTATGTATGTAGATGCTGATGAGCACTCACTCAGAGAAACTGCTTGAAGTCGAGATGGAGCTGCGGGAGCTTCGTCCACTGCGAGCTATGAGGGAGGAGGTGGAGGCTCTGAGAGGGTCCGTGGAGAACATGCGTTCAATTGTATCTTCTCTCGATTCGGGTCGTGTTGGTTCCAGTTCTGGTTCTCACACGCTGGGTAAGAAAATTTCATATACACCTCAATTATTATACATTATACCACGTAGCCTACTTATTTGTGTTCACAACATTGTTTTTAACACATTTCAATACTGTCACCAGGCTCCTTAGAGCAGCAGCTCTCACGTCACGATGACATGATGAGTGTCCATGACATCCGCCTGGCGGAGATGGACCTGAAGCTGCAGGTGCTAGAGACGGCCAGCTTCAACGGTACGCTCATTTGGAAGATCCGTGACTACAAAAGACGGAAACAGGAAGCCGTGGCCTCAAAAACCCTCTCGCTCTACAGCCAGCCCTTCTACACGGGCTATTTCGGCTACAAGATGTGTGCCCGCATCTATCTGAATGGGGACGGAATGGGTAAAGGCACACATCTCTCGCTGTTCTTCGTGGTCATGCTTGGGGAATACGATGCCTTGCTGCCGTGGCCGTTCAAACAGAAAGTAACATTAATGCTAATGGACCAGGGGCCGGCAAGGAAACACTTAGGCGATGCCTTCAAACCGGACCCAAATAGCAGTAGCTTTCGCCGGCCCACTGGTGAAATGAACATCGCCTCGGGCTGTCCACTCTTTGTGGCTCAAACTGTCCTAGAGAATGGAACCTACATCAAAGACGACACCATCTTCATTAAGGTGACTGTAGACACCTCCGACCTCCCGGACCCTTGAAATCAACTTCACTGGGTCTAGATAATATCAAGTCACACAGCCCTCCCAGCCAAGACTTCCAAGAGCAGGGCTGAGTTTGGGTTTATAACAGTCCGAGCCGTCAGCTTGTGCTCGAGAGATGGTGCGCTCTTCGGGAAACAACAGTGCCTTGCTGGGCTAGATAGTTACTGCCTTTTGGAGGAGGTTTGAGTAGATGAATCTCCCATGTCAGCCACATCTAAAATGCTGTCAAGAGTAATACGTCAACTCTAATCAACCCAAAGAATGTTAATGTCTCTGAATCTACAAGACGAGGCGAAATGATGCCTAGATGATGTGTTGGTTGACTAACATCAGGCCCAAAGTAAAAGGAAGCTGTTTACACTCATCGTCATGTTAGCCTTCAATGAGTATGAATGCGTTTGGGGCTAATGGTCATCTCTCATATTGGTTGTTAAGTCTGGAAGGTAACCCTTCATGTTTGGTAATCCTGACAAGCTTTGTATTGGTGGTTTTGTACAATATGCAAATATGGAACTGACATCTGTTGTGTTGTAGTGGTTTGTTGATGGACAGTTGATGTGGAGAGGAGTTTTGGGATTAGAAAGTCTTGTTTGTGTGGGCAGGGGTGGACGTGTTTCTGTGTAGTAGATATAAAGGACCTGACTTTGGAGCATTCATGAAGGACTACATCGGCACTAAACAGTGACCCTGCAAGGGTTCCATTGTCAAAAAGCAAAACCTCAGTTTTTATGCATGTAAAACCTATTGTTACATGACTTAACCTTCTCTGCGTTTACCACTTTGACACATTATTTTTTGTAATGTTCTACTTAATAGATGCTATGCATCAGAATCTATTGTCCTTTTGTGTTTTGTATTTTATTTTTTAAAACAGTCGAAAATAACGCCTTTATGCGTCCAGCCATGCTGCCAGAGACACATACAATAATCCAGATCATTTTTCATGGTAGGGATGGTTTTTGCACAACTATTGTTTGAATGTGTAATATGTGTATACATATATCAATATAAAATTGTTGGAAAATATTCTGGATTCTGTTTTTATGGATGTCAAGTTGAAGTACTTTATTTGTTTCTTTATTTATTTTTGACCTCAGGGGAACTGAAACTTACCTTAGGCTATGCGACTGCTTTTATTCCTCTGTGTGCAGTTAAGCAAATGTCTTGCTAGAAAAAGTATAAATTTAGAACTTTTTTTTCACAAACTAATACCATACCGTTTTTTTCTCCGATGTTTTATAACAGGTCAATACCTGTAATATCTATTTCCTATTGGACAAAAATTCGCTTTTTTATCTTGAGATACTGCTAAAACAAAACAACAAAAACAATCATTTAATTAGGTTTAGGTTTAATAAGAGGTTATATGTAAGAGGTCTAAACAATAATTTACACCTGATTAATGACATTAAGTATTTAGGAAAATCTGATAAACTTTGCATTGGAAATAAACAATGTAGATTTTTAAAAAGTAATTATTATTTAGACCCATCCTAGCTGACAACAACCAGTCCTCCTAAATATCATTTTTATGGTTGTAATCAACGCCAATAACTTTTTTTTTAATTAAGGAGCAAAGAGCATTTTTAAACATGACTCGTGTTCTCAATTTGTCAAATGCATAGAATAAAATATTCTGAAATATATAAAATATTAGATAACAGATTTAAAAACCAGGGATTCACTGCAGGGATTTTTTTTTAAAGGTTACTTTGTGGCATTTTTGCCCCATACCCTCGTGAGCTTCTATAATTGCCATTTGACCTGTATTAAAACCGAATACTATGTTATTTCATGGCTGACCACTAGGAGGCGTAAATGTACAAGCCTGACTTCCCACTGTCTGCTGAGCTAATTTAAAGCAGCACTATGTAACTCTTTCTGTGTTCAAAATTTGCAAAATGTATATAATGAGCGAGTACATCATGAATTCATCTTACGGGATGTGTGCAGTTCTGTTTATTAACCGCTAGAGCGCCAAAAGTTACATAGTGCTGCTTTAACGGATAATTTCGGTCTCAGTGAAACAACGTACAATTATGTCACTCCATAATGGATCTATACAAAACGGATATACTGTAAATACGTTTATCTGCATTGTCAAATGCTTAAAATGCTTCTTTAAAAGTTCTTGAAAATATCCTGCGGCGCTTTGTCAAACAATTTAAATTAGGCTTATATTATGTACTGCGGGATGACATTGAGAAAGCATTTAATTTCTTAAATTGCGAATTTTGGTTTTCTCCATGTCAGCAATTTGGTGCCTACCCTTCTCGTTTGCACCGAAAAGTCCTTGCAGTCAGCAGAGCAGCCACTCCGCCCTCAGCAGCGGGAGCTCTACAGCGTGAAACCGCGCGTCACTCCAGCTCATGAATATTCACACTAGCGTCATGAGAAAGAGCGTCACATAAAAGGACACAGGTGAGGTCACGGCGACACGCACACAGCTGGATAGTCCGCGCAGTGGCCAGTAGACGGGCTAGTGTCAATACTAATACAAACAAAGAAAAATTTAAAACAACAACACTGGGACAGTTTTAAATTCCTCACATTTAAAAAGGGAACTAAGGTTGCATCACGTATAAAAGAGAGCTCTGCGAGGAACGGCAACATGTTCACTTGGGTAAATAAGGAACAGGGTGGAAGGAACAAGGAGGGAGACATGTTTCAAACAGTGACTGAAGGACTTCAGAGTCTTTATACTAAAAAACTTCTGCCTTTGGAGGAGACCTACCTCTTCCATGACTTCCACTCACCGGCGCTGGAGGAGGCGGACTTCCAGAGCAAGCCTATGGTCCTTCTGGTCGGACAGTATTCCACAGGGAAGACCACTTTTATCAGGTAATGCATGGCTTTGACAAATAGGTGTGTGTCAGCAAAACACTAAGTAATATACTTTTCTGTCAATGTTCTTAACTTGAATGAATTGTAATGTCTAGTAAGTCAAGCAACGCATTACAATATTATTAGACACAAGTATATTTATTGAGGGTTTATTTTTCATGTACTTATTTAATTTCTCAAAGAGCAGCATGTACACATGTGAAGTTCAGTACAGTCAGCTCTTTGTGGTGGCTGCAAACCCTGGCAAGGGGGTGTGTAAAAACAGCTTATGCCAGCTCACATAGCCCATTCACCTGTGAAAAGATGCAGAAGGCTGGAGAGTATGCAAACAACTCATAAAAGCATCATTATTCTTCTTATTGGCTTTTCACTGTAGGTCAATACTATTTAGCTTTGATGTCTGTGCTGTTGCTCATCAGGTCCTGTTCTAGACAGTCTCTGAATGAATGAGAAAATCCAATAGCTCTGTTTCATGTTGAACTCCTCTCAAACTAGAACTGGCTTATTACCAAATCAGCCATTCATAATGTAAAACATAAGGTCATATTTGAAAATGGTGGATATTTAAGACTGTTTAAACACTATTGCAGTTGAATGAATAATAAGTTGCTAAGTATTTGAGTTCGAGAGACAACTTATGTTTGTATTGTTTTTTCACCTCCCCTCATAAAATGGTTTTCATGTCTCTTAAGGAGTAATTCAGCCATATTTAACAATGAATACAGTCTGATTCGTAGTTCCCTTATGTTATTGATAGATTTTAATGACAAGCCATGTGTGTTTCTTTGCTTGGAAACCTTTGACACTTTCTCATCCTCTGGCAGGATGTGGTAGGGATCCAGGAAGAGTGAGACTGATGAATAGGTCTGTTTTCACATTCTAGCATTTGTCCAAGGGTTAAGTGCCACTGTTTAGCTTTGATCCTTGGATCAACTTGGATGTTTATTTGTCTCAACCTAAAGGCTATTGGGTAGCATTTTAAATAAATCGCTGCATTTGTTCCATTCATTTTTATTCTCACCCAACCATGGCATTTTGTTGTTAGCATGTGCTGTCACATGATCATGCCACTCCAGTTGACTAAGTAGTGGTTTGTTAATACTTAACCTCTCCCTCCTGCAGGTATCTTCTGGAGCAAGATTTTCCAGGAATGCGAATTGGCCCTGAACCAACGACGGATGGATTCATAGCTGTGATGTACAGTGAGAACGAGGGGATTGTTCCTGGAAATGCCTTGGTTGTGGACCCCAAGAAACCCTTCCGTAAACTCAATGCATTTGGAAATGCATTCTTAAATAGGTAAATATCAAGAGCCCAATCCCTAGATTTGAGCTTCAATGATTATGACTAGTATGCCAATCAAGTGTCTTAAATACAATCTTACTCAGAGGCTCTTTGCTTGCTCAAAATATTAAAATCTTGGAATTTTGGTAATTTCACCCTAAAATGGAAATGGTCACCAATTACACATTCTCATGTTGTTTCAAACTGAAGACTGTCATTCATCTCTGACTGTCATTTTATCTTCGAGACACAAATTAAGATATTTTTGATGAAAACTGAGAGATTTCTGTCCCTCCACCGAAAGCGCATTCCACCTTAATTTGGACGCTTTAAAAAGTGAGCTTTAAAAGTGATTGTAAAAGTAATATATATGAATCAAAAGGTTTAATCCAAGTCATTGTGAATTTAAATTGCATCTTGTTTGATCTTGAGGATAAAACTAGTGATCTTTTACCCATTTTTGGGTGATCTAACCCTTCAACACCTCTGAAGAAGTAAAATGGGGCTGAATCAATTAATAACACCATATTTCAGTGTTCAGTCAAGCTTGAGCCAGGAGAATAGTTGTTAGACATCATGTCATGCAGCAGGGAATTCTAGGATGTGGGCACATATTCTTGCTCGCTACATTCTGTAACGGATGTCCCTCTTGCTCGGGCCATGCCAAAACAAGGATTTTCCATTATCTTGCTCTGGCAGTGGTATAGGATATGGAAAACTGTCTGGAATGGCCTAAGTACAGTTTAAGGTTTACAGTTTAACTATAAAAATACTATTAAGACCATGCATTCACACTATATACAGTATTATGCCATAATGCTTTGCAGTTGTCACTTTACACTCTTAACAGGTTAAGATGTTTTTCTACCCATCTCATTCTGCTGCTCATTAATTTCTTCCTTTCGTCTCACGCAGTTCGCTTTTCTATTACAGGCAATTTTTTTCCACAAACAAAGTGGCTCAAAAACTGTGTAAAGGGGCTTGGTCACTTCTCCTTTTAGGTAATTGTAGCTGTTGCATGAGCTTCCACAAGTTTTAATGTTTAATTTTAGTACCTAGACAGTTAGACAGAGGTTTGTTTTCCTGTTTGCTGGATATTTATGTGGAGGGGAAATTGGTAAGTACTTCTTTGACAGTCACCACTATAGAGGTCAAAGGCACACTTGACAGAGACCATCTCCTCTCCTCCAAAGGAACCTCAAAACAATGCACTTTGTTTCCTGTGGACCCTGTTGTGCGTCATGTGATGGCATGTTTGGGCACAGCAGTTTATTTTACTTATTCTCTCCTCGCTCTTATATACTGGCTCTTTTGAATAAAATGCATGTGTAATTTTCTTGAAAATGAAACTTGGTCAAATGCCGCTTCCTCTATTTCTTTGTGTGTTCTTCTGCTTTGCAGCTGACAGGTGATGTTTGCTTACAGATGTTGCAATTTCCTGTAAGGTTTTATAAAAAAAAAAAAAAAAAGACATCCTCAAACTCACTTGAGACAGTGTTGCAATCTTAACATCACCATAATATTCCCTCACATTGAGATTACATAATAGTTTTATAAACATTATGAATGTATTATACATTTGTTGAATGTCTGAATCATTGCCCCAAGGTTGTGGAGTAATTTACTACTGTCCAATAGTTCATCCACTTCAATCAACATGTTTAAAACCCTCGTTAATACTTATTTGTTGTCTTTGGCCTTCACAGCATTGTTTTCTGGATGGATGCAAAATTAAACAAAAAAAAATTTTAGGTTTCATTTCTTTTTTTATATAAAGTTTGCCTCTGTTAATATGTGGTCACATTAACAAAATACTGGCAAAATTATGTGGGCAAAAAAGTTCCACTGTTAGTGGTTTAGCAATGCATGAAGTACAGCTTCTGTGAAATTTCGCAGAACAACGGTAAATGTGACCACATTTATTTTTTTAGTAAGCCCTGTTTAATCTGAAGTTAAATATACAGCATATTAGTCTCCTTTTGTTTTTATAAAGTGGCTTTCACTTCTTTGGTATTTTATTCTCCTATAGTTTATTATTTGTGTCAAGCTTTATTCTTTGAAAGAATTTAAAGAGAAAATGTTTCTCAGCTGTTATATTTTCGCATGACTCAGATCAAATGAGTCAACCGCCAAATGTAGTGATACTACCAGCATTTCCGGTGATAACATGAGGTGATGAACTCTCTCCATCTGTCTCACCAGGTTCATCTGCTCACAAATGCCCAACCAAGTTCTGCAGAGCATTAGCATCATTGACACGCCAGGGATCTTGTCTGGCGAGAAGCAGCGCATAAGCAGAGGTCAGTGGCTGCAGTGAGTGTTTACTGTACAGGAGAATGTTCACTCTAGTCTTTGTAGAATTGTATTACAAACAAAGGCCGGACTCTGTCACATGGCCACACACATGCAATGGGATATCAAATGACAAAACAGACACCATCAAATATACCTGATTCTTCTCTGACAGTCTTCTCAAGTGCTCCTTCAGAGATGTTTATTAGAGAAGAGCTGTTTGTCAAGGTAAAACTAGTCACAATTGGATGCTTAGTAAAGGGAAGATAATGTCACATAACCAAAACAATGTGAAATCTGCTGTTTAGCCTTGGCAAAATTCTTCATCCTACAGTCTCTGTGGCTATTTCCCATTGAAAATAGATTTGGTGTGATGCATTAGAGCAGACAGGCTGGTTCACTCCCGGGAGGACTGACGCTTATGTTCCCAGTATAAGGAACAATCATAATGCTTTAGTCATTAGTTTTCTTTTTAGTCACCAGATCTGGCCTGTTTCATTGTAAATTTCCTCTGTCGTTTCCGTCCCTGTCTCCCATTGCATGACACCAGCAGATATGCTGGAAACCGTGATGAGTCTGTGATGTTATGAAGTCAGCATTTCTCACTTTCTTTTTCCTCATTTTAAAAGCATGAGTTTAGCTTGCCAAATACACTTCAGGGTTTATATCAGCATACTGGTACCTCAGCATGTAGCTGGTGTTTATGTGTTTCTAGAAAATCAATTAACAAAACAAGCTGCTACATGCTTTTTAAATTTTTTTTAACTATGAAGGCAGAGCACTTCTGAGACGTGGCCAAGCGATTTTTAACAGTCATGAGATATTCCTGTTCATGCTGCACAAGTGTTATCTATGAAAATGCACGGCAGCAGAGGTACACCGCGGGTGTATGCAGACTCAGAGGGTCTGCAGACTACAGATTAGGCCTGGTGGCACAAATGTACGGCCGCAGCTTCGGCCATGAGGGATAACAATGTACATGGGTGTTCCACATCTGTTCCTGCTTTAGCTCCACTCAGCTGAGGTTGCATTCCTCTTACGTTAGCGTCTCTGACACATCTCACAATGCACCATTAACCTTATGCATTAATCATATTTCATTTTTAATACGACTATGAATTTTTCAAAGTTTTAAAATTACTAAACCCAGACATTTGTGTTGTGCCTGCATTACATTTTTCCAGTTTCTAAATTTTATAAATGAGCAGCATATTTATATTTAGGCTGCTCTTTATAAAAGTGATTAAATATTTATGGGAAATAATGCTGGTAAGTTGACAACGTCTGGTGTGACATGCAATTTTTTCTACAATTTTAAACACTATATTGTTGATTTTTATAATTATAATGCATGAAGTTTGGACTGTTTGTACTTTTAAAAATGTATTCATCACACTGTAGGATCAATTCAATTGAACTATGGCTAATACTCTAAAAGAAATGGTAACTAGGTATAGGAGCCAAGACATGGATGTTCCCTTTTACTTTTATGTACATTTTAACTTAAATTTTTGTTTAATAAAAAAAATGTAGTCAGAATAAAAAGTTAATTTAGAGTCCTTCTTCTGTACATAGTTGCCTTACATGGAACAGCATTGATGGTTCCCACACTCTTCGAGCACTGAGCTCCTCCTTTGTAAAATCTTGGCAGAGCTTTTTGCAAAATTTTTATAGCAATGTGTAATCCATGCCATTGTTGTTGGAACAGCGTCATTTCCTCATGACTGTTGGGTGGTTGGATAAGCTGGATCTCATTGCTTTAAAATCTGAATTTGCACTGGTTTATAATGAGCTATATGTGAATGAGAACTGAAGTGGTGTCCCAGTCTCTATGAGGTTCTCATGGTCATGACAGATCAGTGACCTGTGCACAAGGCTTGAAAGCTGATCTTTATGTCCTTCTCTCTTTCTATACCCCTTTCTTCCAGCTACAGAAGCAAAGGTGTAACCATTATTAATGCACGAAGGACAGTTGAACACATTTTCCAGTTGTGAAATACCAGTTTCAAATGAATTGTTTGTGTGTAATGTTTCCATGAGTAAAGTTTGGTCTCAGATATTTGTATTTTATATTTTACATTTGTTTGTTTGTTTATTTATAATAATAATAATAATAATATACTAATTAGTATTAATAATAATAATATTTTTTAATTATATCTATTTATTATGCATATTTATATTCTATTAGGGTTTCCCAAACTTGGGTTTGTGTGTTAATGAAAAGCAAATATTTAATTTTATCATAAATATGTAGAATTAATATATATTATATAAATGAAATATTTTATTTGTTTACCTGCATTGGTAAATTAATGTAATGTTAACTTAAAATCTACTTCAAGGATTTTGGGGTTCAGCTAACAGGGGGAATTCCTTTATTATATTATATATGTTTTTTAATTGTGTTTTTACTATAGTTTTACTATCTCTAATGGTGTGTACTGAATGCAGTACACTCAATCTGTTTTCTCTTATTTTAATTCTCACATTTTAATTCTGTTCTATTGACATATTTCCCCCACAGGCTATGATTTCTCAGAGGTTCTGCGCTGGTTTGGAGAGCGAGTGGACCGTATCATTCTCCTCTTTGACGCCCATAAACTAGACATATCTGATGAGTTTTCTGAAGCGATCAAAGCTTTCCGTGGGCAGGATGACAAAATCCGTGTGGTACTGAACAAGGCTGACCAGGTGGACACTCAGCAGCTGATGCGGGTTTATGGTGCGCTGATGTGGTCGCTGGGGAAGGTGATCAATACTCCAGAGGTGGCGAGGGTCTATCTCGGCTCTTTTTGGGCCAAACCTCTCCAAAATGCAGACAACCGGCGTCTGTTTGAAGCTGAAACACAAGATCTCTTCAGAGACATCCAGAGTTTGCCTCGCAACGCTGCCCTGCGTAAGCTGAATGACCTCATCAAAAGAGCTCGGCTTGCTAAGGTAAGGGTTTTAACATCACAACTTAGAAGTCCACTTAGAAATTCATTTTGACGCTTTTAAAAATTAGTTTAGTGTCATTTATGTTATTGTATGTAAGTTAAAATTAAATGCATAAAATGGTGTATATTATGCCTGAGATCTGTCATATAATTTTATTATATGGTAATAGTTGTATTATTTTTTATATACTTATAAGCCTATTTTATTATTTTAATCTTATTTTAGTATTTTCGTTAAAGTTAGTTAATTATAACAAATTTTTGTTTATAGATTATAAATTTATACATATTAGATATTCATATTTTTAGTGTTGATGTATTTATATTATTTGTAAATAATTATTTGTAAAGCATCGCTGCTCATTGTCTGTTATTTTGTCATGTGTTTGACCTTAGTTCAACCACTATTGTTTTTGGCTTTTAAAATGAGTGCACTGTATGAACTTACACATTGTACCACATGAGCCCCATTCAACACAACCTGCTTGTGCCTTAACACTTAAATATGGACATATAAACAATTCACTCATGGAACCATGACAGAAAGTGCGTCTTATCTCTTCCGCAATATTTTCCAAACATGTCCAGCAAACAGGAATCCTGAAGCCCTGTGCATGCCTTCCTGTAATGGTAAAGCCATGTGAGGCAGTTTAATGCCTTCTCCATCTCCTGGAAAAGCCCAGAAAAGTCCCTTTCCATGGTACAAAGGAATGTGTGTAACGGGCTTGAAGAGAGCACGGCCCTTATTTTTCCTAACATCTCCACCCCACTTAGTCTTGCCACTCGTCATGTTTACGCCTTTCCTGTCCTCCTCGAGCCGCCAATCGTCCTTAAGAGGAATAAACATGGCTTAAAAGGGAAAAGCCCAGCCTTAATTTGGATCTCTGGTGGTGTACTTCCTCTATATTGAGGAAAAAGTTTGTGTAAATACAGACGCTTTTGAATGTTCCTTTGGCAAGGACATTTCCAAGGTGTAAACACACAGATGGTGTTTGATTATGTAACCGGCCTAGAGTAACAGGAGGTGGATGTCATGTGAGAAAAACTGTCTATAGTATAATAATAGTGATATTGATCCTGTGTTTATTTTATTGTAACATAAAAAACACAATGCATTGTGATATAATTTGAGGTCTTAAATTGCTTTAATTGGGTTGTAACTTTTAGGTGTTCATTTTAAACTTATGCTGTATGTCATAAATTAGGCTTTGTTTTAAATAAATAGTTGCTCTTGTCATTGGGCTACAGCTTGTGTGTATCTTAAATGTAGTCACTAAATGTTAGGGCAGTGTATTTATTATAATAAAATAATGCTAAAAAAAATAAGAAAATTATAATAATAATAATAATTATAAACAATAATATATCATTTATTATTATTATTAAAATCATTTTCAAAATGTATGCCTAGCAGCACGTTTTTTTTTTTATAATCAATATGTTAAATGTAGGCCTATATTTCCAGTATACATTATTCTATAAGCACAGGTTCACCATATCTTCTCATTAACTTACTGATAATCTGCTGTGTGTGTTATAGGTGCATGCTTACATCATCAGCTACTTGAAGAAGGAAATGCCTTCCCTGTTTGGAAAAGAGAAGAAAAAGGAAGAGCTGATTGCCCACCTGCCTGAGATCTATCAGATTCTGCAGAGAGAGCACCACATCTCACCTGGAGATTTCCCTAATGTCATTAAAATGCAGGTGAGACTTGGCCTGTGTCTATGGAACATGGGTAAATATTAGATGTTATATTATGGCTTCTACATATGTTTACAAACTAAACAAAACTAACCAGGATGTTTGTTTTATTTAGAGAGACACTAGCTGTTCTTGGATGAATAAAATGTCCAACAACTGCTGGTTATTAGATTATGTTAAGTGCTGGTGCAGATGTATGAGGATTCCAGGCTGTAGATCTGAGGAATGTTTGTTTTGTACAGTGTGTTAGTGCTGTGGTTGAGTTCCTGAGGGGGCTGCTTGAGTCCCAGCCCTGCTATTGTCTGAGGAGCAGACAGAGTCTGTACTTTCACTTTCTTCTGGTCTTGCCTGAGGATGTTTACCCAGCATGACTCTCTAGGCCCACATCAGAAATTGCATTACAGTATATGTGAAAACAAGACTTCAGTCAAGCAATGTAATGCAGTTTCACATTACTTTACAGAGATTAATGGGGATACATCTCACATTCGGGTCTTTCACATTTACTTAACGTACAGGCATGCAGAATTTTAATTGCTAAGAAAAAACAGCAGGGTCATTCTGTGTCAACTCAACCAGTGGTCATGTATAGTGAGGAAAGCCAAAATATTAAATATCATGGATGACTATTTACGGAGTAATCCACTATTTTGTAGAGGGTGGTCAAAATGACAATTTTCGCCTGAGATTCAGAGCCAGAGTACAGTGGGGAAAGATGGCAGCATCATTATGTTATTTTTACACAGAGATTGGTAGGTCTGTTAGAAAAATTCCTTTGCATACAGATACGTTTGTTTTGATAGATGAAAACAAGATACATTTCTAGTTTCAACATTATTTGTTCTTCAGACATTCCTCTTTAAAAGAAATAAAGTATTATTTGTATGCGAAGTGACCCACATTTGGTTTTTGACCACTGAAAATGTGTACAATTTAACATTTTACTCCTGGAGCCATATTGAGATTCCAATATCTCTGGAAATGAACCAAATAAGGCCTTAAAAATGAAGATGCCAAAAGGAAAGTTTGTTGAGACCCAAAATTAAGATATCTTTAATACTTCTTGAGATACAGGCATGCAAACTTTGGAGAAATTTTTTTTTAAAGTACTTTTACCCACTTTTGAATGGTCACCACTGGCATATAATGCAACAAAGATTGCTAAAGTCAACAGATTTTACTAGCAGACCTACTAATCTCTGTGTAAAAATAACATGATGCTGCCATCTTTCTAAAGTCATTTGTACCCCCCTCCAAATCTGGCTCTGAATCTCAGGTGAAAATTGTCATTTTGACCCCCATCTACAAAATAGTAAGTTACTCAGTATACATCCATGACATTTAATATTTTGACTTTCATCACTATACATGTTTATCTTTCTTCAGAAAAAATACTGACAAAATCGAAAATTTGAGTAAGTTGTTAACACAATATAATAACTTTCATTAATAAATCATTAACAAACATTATATAATGCTTAATGGACTATTAGTTAATATATATTCAAAGAGTTAGAAATGTGAGATAATGTGCTTGTTAATGTTTGCTAATAAACATTAAACATTAGATAATGTTCAAACATCATTATTGGTTAAAATACTTACAAATGTCATTAAACTTTCAATTCCATATGATCAAGCACCTATTGAAAATCTACAAATGATTTTAACAGATGATTAAAATTATTAAAAGCTTGTGTTAATGCACAACACTTTTGCTGCTCTTGAGGTGTGATACGGGTAAGGTTAGGGACAGGTTTGGTGGTATGGGTAGGTTTAAGGGTTGGTTAAAGGGTCAACAGTGTTCAGGGGTCAATTAGATTATTATAAGAGAACACAGTTCAATCTGTTTATATTATATTGTTTTGATAAATGAACTTTAAAAAAAAAAAAAATTTTCCCGTTTATTTATGATTAAAGGAATATCCTGTTTAATGATACACTGAAGAGTATTATACTAATGTGAGTGTTAAGGCAATAAAAACATTTTTTTGGCACCAAAAATCTGTTATGTCTTTAGCAAGCATTTAGCTAAGCTTAAACAGCCACCCTTTAAACAAACCTTGTAACATTAGCTAAAAAACATGAACAAATGATTAATAAATGATTAGTAAAGATGTGTGAACAGGGTAAATTCTTTCGGGACATTTTTTGCCATCGAGATGACTGCTCATAAAGGTATTAATGATTAGTAAACATTTATAAACATTTGCAAATGATGAACAGTTTCCACTTTAGATTGGGTACTACAAAAACATGAATAAATGATTAATAGATTATTTGTTAAGATGTGTAAATAGAGGTCTACACAACAAACAAAGACCAATGAATGAAGATCATATGAACTGAAAGTTTACTGACATTTGTTAGCATTTTAATTTACATTAAATAATATGTGACCCTGGACCTGGTCTTAAAGGTGGGGTAAGCGATTTTCAAAAACGCTTTAGGGTGCTTTCACACCTGTAGATCGATTGCTTTGTTCCGAAACAGGGATTAAAATGATTACAATGTTGCTTTTTATTCTTGGTGCGGTTCGCTTTCATATGGCAATGTTTCTAAATGGACCAAATTTGTTAATACAGGATTCATCGGGAAAACATTTTTAAAATGCACCTACTAGGAAGAAGAGCAATAAGACGGCATTATAAAACGAAAAAGTGCGCTTTGATTTTGAATGGCGAAGACGTGCACACCCACAGACATTCACATGGTTCATTTTGAAGTATTAGCAAAACAACAAAGTTAATGCATTTCACAGAATTTACGTAATTTCCCATTATACATTGTGATATAGCCTGGTTCGTTGGTCCATTAGATCGGATTGCTTTCTCACTACAACCGAACCGCTCCAGAGTTCGTTTTCAGTCGGGCCGAGACCACCTCGGATTGTTTTGGCGCGGATCCAAGCGCGATTGCCATGTTCAAATATGCCCAAACGAACTGAGCTAAGGGGGGAAACGCGCCAGGTTCCGAAACAACGGGCCAGGTGTGAAAGCACCCTTAGAAAACTGATTCGGTGCGATCAGATGCCGAGGTTGCTTTGTTTCTTCTTGATAGGTGAGTAACACTGTGTCTGCGCTGCAACAGCTGTCTGTCTAGTATACTGGACGCGACAAAGCGACTGTTGAAAATCATTTATATGTATAAATCTCAATTTCAAAAAATTGACCCTTATGACTGGTTTTGTGGTCCAGGGTCATATATGTTAATCATTAGGTAATGTTTAGTAAGTTCGTTAGTAAACATTAACAAGAACATTATCTCATATTTCTAGCTATGAGAATATATATTAACTAATGATCTGTTAAGCATTATATAATGTTTGTTAATGATTTATAAATGAAAGTTATTATAAAGTGTTACCAGTAAGTTTCTGAAATTTGGTTGGTTTGACACGGAATGACCCAGCAGTCATTACCTATAATAACATTGCTAATTACTGACTGCACACATGCTCTCAGTGAACTTTTCAACCAGACAGCTTCCAGGCAGCACTTGAAAGATAAAGGCCATGCTCTAAATAGACTGTACAGTAGGTGACATTGATTCACTCCAGAATTAGACATCATATCACTGAAATAACAACTTCAGTACTTGGATGCCTCATTTGTTTAGGCCTTACTTTATAAATAATTGTTTCGGTCATGATCTTTAAACACATTATAAAAAATGATAATGAATAATGAAACAAAAAATCTAACCCGGTGTGTTTCAGTTGTTTATGCTATATTATTACAGACACTTTAATTTGACATTAAAATGTCTCCTTCTGTCACTTACATCTGCTAACATGCAGGAGCAACTGCAACACTACGACTTCAGCAAGTTCCCTTCTTTGAAAGTAAAGTTGATTGAATCTGTGGACAGAATGTTGTCCACCAAGATCTCAAGTCTGATGAACATGATCCGAGAGGAAGAAAGCAAACAGCCTCCTCAGATGGTAATGGGTGGAGCCTTTGAGGACTCGTCCGATGGGCCTTTTGGCCACGGTTATGGCGAGGGTATCAGTGCAGGGGCTGATACTGAGGACTGGATCGTGAGTCGCGACAAACATCGCTACGACGAAATCTTCTACACACTGATGCCTATCAATGGGAAGGTAACTGGCATCAATGCCAAGAAGGAGATGATGAATTCTCGTCTGCCCAACACTGTACTGGGAAAGATCTGGAAGCTGGCAGACTGTGATAAGGACGGCATGCTGGATGATGAAGAATTTGCTCTGGCTCAGCATCTTATTAAAGTCAAACTAGAGGGATTTGAGCTTCCTACAGAGCTACCAAATCACCTAGTGCCTCCATCGCACAGGAAGAACCCCACTGCAGACATCATGTACAACCACCAGGAGAATTGATCATCTTCATATCTGCATATTTATCAGCCAGCTGCTAGCACAAAGTGGCCTTTGAATACTGAAGTCTTACTTCATTGAAAGGGATGAAGCTTTATTGGTTAAGCCATCTTTTATCAACAGACATGTGTGACTTTCACATGCCCAAGATTAAGTATGTTTGAATATACGTGCACTCAGTGTTAAAGAACAACATGCATATTAAAATTACAGTCCATGTAATTGATTACTTCTACATTTTTTCCCTGACCTTGTGTTATTTCGACATGTGCTTGCAGACTGTAAAAATGGATGGCAGTGCAGTTCATTATGCAGTGCTTTCAATGTTATATTACATTTCATAATAAATAACAATTTCAGTTAAGTATGCATAAGAGCAGCCAAACAATAATACACACAGAAGCACTGACAGAAGCATCCATTCATTTCACTCATTCTGACAGTGTGGATATCGATTAAATTAATTTTGAAACATTTCCATGAATGTACACTTTTCATATGAACTGCATCATAATTGTAACGGGGCTGACGAGACGTGAGACGTGTGGATCCATCTGCAGGCTTTATTAAAGATACGTGGAAAACAGGCAGGGTCAAACAATGGCAAACAGGTATATGGCGGGCAAAACACAAGAATAGTCCCAGGGCTAGCGTAGGTCACCGATCGGCAGACAGAATCACAGGGGCGAGACGAGAGGGAAAAATCCAGAAAAACAGGCAAAGATCAGAAACCGCGAAAACAGGCAAGGCAAGGCAAAAACAAGGAAAACTCAGAGACTCGGAATGGGGTACGGGCTAAACAATACTCAGCAGAGAAAGGTGGTTAGAGTGGGTGTTATATAGTGAGTGAGGTGATTAGAAACAGCTGTGTGCAATGAGTGCAATCAGTGCAGTGTGCAAATCGTGCAAAGAATGATGGGATATGTAGTCCGGGGTGCTATGCAACAGTTTGTGTTGTGCGAGAGTCAATGTAATGGAAAGGGTGACCTCTGGTGGTGAATAAACGGAAGTCCATGGACCGAATTCGTGACAATAATGCTGAAATAGACTATTTGTGAGCATTTTTAATGTGGGCAAAATTGAGAGTAATTCAGTGTTTCATGATGCAATTAAAATTATGTTCAATACTACATACAAAAAATACTACATACACTTTTCTTACACTGGGTGTTACTTTTTTTTTTTGGATCGAATTATGTGACATTGATTAAATGTACAAATTAATAACAGCATTACACTGAACAGCACTGAGTTTTGCCAGCGTTTTTTGTTGTGTATACTATTTCTGTCTTACACTGACTAGGTTGTGAAGAGTTATAGTAGTTTATAGCGGCAAGCATTTAGAAATGTGAAACATCTACATTTAAAAAAATAATCCTGCAAAAACATTCTACAATTTCAGTATTCATTGAAAGTGTTCCAGTACCACGCTTCTTCCTTACTTTTTTTAAGATTGTCAGCCTGTAGAGATTGTCATCCAACTCTGCCTTCTAATTTAAAAAAACTTTTTAAAATAAAATTGTATGTATGTACAGTGGGTACGGAAAGTATTCAGACCCCCTTAAATTTTTCACTCTTTGTTATATTGCAGCCATTTGCTAAAATCATTTAAGTTAATTTTTTTTCCTCATTAATGTACACACAGCACCCCATATTGACAGAAAAACACAGAATTGTTGACATTTTTGCAGATTTATTAAAAAAGAAAAACTGAAATATCACATGGTATATTAAAGATTTTACATAAACAATTAATAATGTTATATACAATGACAGTAAGAAACAACATTGAATTAAACATAGTGTTTATATTTCTGAGGTGCAAAAGAACTTCTATTGAGTGATGAAATTATCTGTCATTATGAAACTCCTTTATGCCGTATATACACTAATACAGATGAATGTAATTATGTATGTTAAACACTGTCACTATAACCATATGTACATTTTAATATACAGATATTGTTTCTGTCAGCTCAGAGGTGGATTACGTGAACTAGACTGTAACTATTTGACATGAGGCCTTCTCTTAAGGCTTTTAAAATGAAAAATCATTGTGCTTATGTGCAGGTAAAGTTAAGATTACTGTAAAATGTGATTAAAGCCATTCTGTTCCAAGTTTCCCAGACACTTAAGTACATTTATATAGGTGTTTAATGGTGCTTCCTATACTTTAATGAGCCTCTGACGTATATACAACCGTCAACCATCTGTTAATATGTAATTTGCAAATTTTATATTTTAAATGAAATAAGGGAATGTAATGAATGTTTCTATTCAAATTAAAATTAATTGTTTCTCCAAGACTTTATTTTGAAATTCGTAATCAATAGAAACTTGAACATGCACTAAATCTTTTTTGAATAACAGTCATTTCAGTTGTTTCAACCCCAAATCAATTAGCATACAACTGGCATGGCTGTTCCTGGATGGGCCTGTAGAGAGGTGTGTGCTGCTGAATTGCATAAAATACTGAATATGACTGCAACCTTTACCCCTCATGTAGCACACGGTCAGGTGAGTGAGAATTACCCTCCCTTTCAGTCCATTACAACAGCGTCAAAGTTCAGTTCAGTTCCTCAACACTGATCAGTCTTAAAGAGGATTTATCGGATTATGCTCAAATCATGAATGTATGCCTATGATGAAAGTCTGATTAGCACTCACTGTGCCTAAGTGCTGAAAACAAACCTTGAGAAGGGTAAGTGAATTCGAAATCTCTTGCATTCTGCTCATCACAATATGACAAACAAATGTAATACTGTTTGCAAGTGTTTCAAATAATTGTAGGATATACAAATGGCAACATTTAAGAAACAAAAAAAAATACAGATTATGCAAAAATGAAATGAAGTTTGTCTACAGAGATGTGTAATATTACAGTTTAATTGTTCATATTTGTTTTAAACTAGATAAAACAAATGTCTATTTCACCGAATTATAAATATGGACATAAAATAATATTTTGTCGATATATATATAATAGCACCATAGCATTAAGATGCTACTAAGATGATGTTCTACAGTATAATATCTGAAAAGTATTAAGACATGAAAAGTTGGCCAGTTTACTAAGTAATCTGTAATCCTTGATCCCGACATTCAATTTATCACCTGATTTGGAAATGCTAGTTATTTTTATGATCCTTCTAAAGATGTCTGTAAAGTCAGACTTGAAGTACATAATTACACTGTCAGCAGGAGAGGCATGATTGCCCTGATGCTTTCACTTCCTCAAACATAAGAGAACAAAGTTGATTTATAAATTGAAGATTACATATCTTGAGTCATATTTAACTTTCACAATGACGTTTCCTTGGTACTATCCTCTTTTATTTTAACTTCCTGAAAGAGCTCAAAAATCGAAACGTAAAGGCCTCACCAATCATGTGTATGGCTTAATTTTTAAACTCATTGTGGGCAGCTATTGTAAATGAACAATCTGTGGGGTCTGGTTTTTGTATCTTTGAAAGAGTTACATGCATTTTTCATATGTTGTTTTCAGGGACTAACACAGTCAGGAGATGTTTAAACAGGGAGATGGAGAGGAGTCGGATGGCCGATTCCGAGAGCTTCAGGAACAGCGGATGACGGTGCAGAAGAAGACCTACACAAAATGGATGAACAGTGTCTTCTCAAAGAATGGGGTACGAATAAGTCCATCCAAAGCCTTCCTGAACCTCAATGCTAGTTCAGGCAACAAGATCTACAATCAGAGACACAACTAAGCACCAACACTTAAACTAAAGCTTACATTTCAGATGTGTCATGATCAACCCTTTTGCTATGGCTATCTTTCTGTCTATATATATATATATATATATATATATAAATAATCCACTTCGTTTAATCAGCGATATCTGCTGGCGGCACAGCAATTTGATTACACAAAAATTCATGATTCACAAGATATCACGATAACTTTGGTGATATCTAGTGTAATATAATGTTAGTGATCCTGACTCCAGTCTTGTGACTTACTTTAGTTTACGATATGCTCACTCCAGCATGATTACCTCTAGTTGTGAACCCTTGAACCCAGTTAAGGTCATAATTATTTTATCATTGTCCATTACATTACCATCTACATACTTTATGTACTTGTCTCACGATAAGTGCACAGTTCGTTTGGTTGCTTATTTAAACAAGTTAGCCCACTGTTTTCTATATATACATTCTGAGATTGAATTCTATGTAATAATGATGAGAGAAAGTGGCAGGTAGACATAAAGGAAAACTCAATAGTTAATTTTTATACACTGTTATGCAAACGTTTTGTTTTTGACAGATCAGCACAGGGGAGGGAAAAACAAAGATGATTTACCTTGTATTACATCAACATCACCAATCTTAGATTTAGGAAGAAAATAGTACCACCTTGACTGTATAATATTTTTATACCTGATTTTTCCACTATATTTGTCTCCCTTTGAGTGTTATATTTAACAGTGGTTACATATTACCTCGTCTCATACTTACTGCCATTGTTGTGTGAACCAACTGAGAGACTTAACTTACATAAAACACTAACAGCAGGAAGATGTTAAAACAGACAAGTGGTGCTACAACAACCTTCCTCGGCTTGTTAGGGCAAACAAATATATTAATAGCTGTATACAGGCAGCTGTCTGAAAGAATGAGATGTGTTTTAAACATTCCCCTTTCCTTTTCCCCTTCCTCAGTTGCTCCTGTGTATTGTTCTGTATCAAACAACACCGTTCATAACATGTTTATTATAAAAGGTCACACTTTTCATTAAAAACCTAAATATTGCTTTCTGAGAAAATCTATTGCACTCTTGTACTAGCTGGTTATTAGTTGCATGCAAGTTAGCAGTTAGCTAAAGACCATCGTTTTTAGAAGCAATTATGAAAGCTGCAAAATGGTTTGCAGTAATTGCAAGCAGATTTTATTGTTTTATCATTACTCTTGAGTGATGAACTTCGTCTCTGTAGACCCACCAGAGAAGCAGGGTGTGCTCTAAGCTCCCTCGATTAATTCCCTGGGTAAGCAGAGCCTATTGGAGGCAGTAAGCAGATCTGTTGAGAGACATCAGATTCCCACAACACATGGATTAGGGAGTGGTTGAAAGTCTCTTGCTTGAAAGCTGAGAGCAGGACGGCTTTACTGAGAGGAGTGTGAGTGAGTCACGTCATAGTGGAATACAGTGGAAATTAGCCAAACACAATGGTAAAACAAAGCCAGCTGCTGAATTCATGCCTAAACTTGTTTAAAACTGCCTATGATGCATAAAACAAATGCAGTTATAGGACACAAGAACATGTATGTCACTACCTGCAACATGCTTGTTAGCCGATGTCTTCCCACTTTATGATTACTTGATTATAGAAACTGGATGTATTGGAAATGTGTGTAAATTTTATTTTAATGTGCATTCACTTTAAAGGAAAAGGTTGACTTGACTGATGTATATACTGAACTAAGAACTGGTGTGCCACTCGTGCGACTTCTGGAGCTCATCTCCGGGGAGAAACTGCCCACTCCCAGTCGACGCACCCTAAGAGTTCACTGTCTGGAAAATAACAGCATTGCC